ATTAATAATTAATTAAGGTGCTACATTAGAAAAAAAATAAGAGGCCAAACGGACCATCTGTGTTTTGAAGTGTTTTGTTATACCAATGATTTGCTTCTTATTTTTTTTCTAATGTAGCATCTTAATTAATTATTAATTTAACTGGACTACCTCTCAGATGTGGGGATGCACCCTTAAGGACAATATTTTTGAACCGAACAAGAAAGTAATTTAATGGAAGTCATAGAAATCATATGGCTGTACCTGATGAATTCTTCCACGATATGCTTGTTCAAAATCACTTCGCACGAAATAAGGCACCCTCAAATCACTCTGTGTTAGCCGTTTGACGGGGTATTTGCTGAAATTACAAAACATTAACAATCAGCACGAAAGCTATACTTCTTAAGCACATTAGGATATCAATAGTATGAAAAAAGACCTCGAATGATGCAAAGAATAGGCCGGATCGCCAACCATTAACTGGGCAAGAAGGCCCAAAATGAGTATCGCAATCAGCGGAAGAAGTTGTAACAACGGGGTGTAGGGACTCTAGACCAGCTCATTAGAAATTGATGAAAAAATGTGTTTAAAGAACAGACTGACGGAAGTTGACCATGAGAACTGACTTCATTTTGGTTACGCGTGCTGTGACTATGAGAAGTGTGGTGAAAATGTCGTCCTCTTCTCACCGATTCCGATGGAAAACCGCCACCAAAGAACATGTTGAATATTTCTTCAGGCGAGAAATCAGCTAAAAGTTTGTAATAGAGTAAACAAAAAAGCACAAGGAAATAAACATTCGATGAAAAAGGTTAAAGACCGGTGAAAATTAAGAGAAAAATCCTACCATCAAACCCGTGAGCGTAATCGTACTCGAAGAAGTCCCCTCTGGGTCCTCTGCTTACATTGTTTCCATTATCAGATGTGCCATACATATCATATTGTTTTCGCTTCTCTTCATTAGACAGTACTGCATAAGCATTGCCCAGTGCTGAAGAAAACATAGCTTAAACATAGGTGATTCACACCTTAGAGAACAATGAACAGTTACAATGAATACAGTAAACCATATGGCCCTCATCGAATGAAGACAGTCATTTTAGTACAGTAGTTCGTCTAATTACGGTGATCCCAATTTTGGTATTCCCACGATATTTTGCTCTGAGACCAGGGTACAGCATCGTGATGTGTGAAATGGTGGTGTCAGTACGAACGCCTTCTCGAAGGAGGGTTCAGTACGACTTACCCCCTCCCCACTGAAACGAGGGTCTCGGCACGACCCCCCCCCCTTCCCCACCCAACACGTACCTACCAATTTCCCACATTTTTCAGTTTTTCACCCAAACCCAGATATCTTCCGAGCGGGGGGAGGGGGGGGTGTAGTACACAAGTACAGGAAAAAATCAAAAATCAACAACCTGGAGAAATTTCTCCCAACGCGGCAAATTTCTCCTAAAGCCACATCCGAACTCCCTCCCCTCTCCCAGCAACGACCAAATACGACCCACTCCCCAGCGGAAGCTCAAAAGATCGTCGATATGCGAAACCTTACCCTATCTTCGTCTAGCATTCTTCCGATGCTTTGAACATTTCCTCGGTCTATGCGGCTCTTTTATCGTTTGTATTTTGAACTTCTTATTGCACTAATGTGTCTCGTTCACTTTTTCAGCTTTGACACTATTTTTTTGTTTTTTCCGCGTGACGCGCCAAGTTGGAAGCTCACTTGCGGCGATTTTTCGCTTCGATTCAAATAGCCCCTTTATAAGGACCCCCACTCAGCAACTGGTCAAAGTTGCAAGTGACCTACGCCGTAAAGAGGCCCAGAACGAAGCAGATTCCAAAGATTTCTTTTCACTCGTTTTTTACCGTTCCTGGAAGCGCGCAGCGAAAATGAAGCACACTTTTCAGGTCCCTCGCGTTTTCGAAAAGCGCACCACGCCCTGAACGACCTCCCTTGTTAGAGAGCAAGGAAGTCTGCATGAGTTAGGTGATTCAGCCCATCCCCCATTGAA